TGACGTTCATTTAACCCAGGTCCTGAAGGTGGATAATCTCTGGACGCTCCTGAAACACTGCTCCATTCACCGCATTCCTCCTGCATGCTGTCCAAGCATGCTGCCTGTCAGGAGGCTGAGCATTCTCATCCTCCTCTTTTCACTGTGCAGTGAGTAATAATGATGATCTGCAAGAACTCTGTGTGTATAGGAAAAACTATTTCATTGAATTGTTAGGAATAAAAATTAGGTTAACTTTTAGTGTCTTGATGGTGTGATCAGTTTTAATACTAAAATGTTATTAGTGATGGTAACTGCAAAAGCTAAAACTAACTAATATGATCATGTTTCATGAAATACTCCCCTTTTAAGCTTTCATGACTCTATGTGGACTTGTGAAAAACATATTTATGTTTGGTTACATGGTTCAGTAGCTTTTAAAACAAACCTTAGCAGTAGTGACTTGTAGTAATTATTTTAGACTATCGTTTTGTTGTGTGTTGTTTTGACCATTGTACGGTCTGACGGTCAGGATTTACATAGAATTTGGACCCTGGCGCAGATTTTGAGAAGGTTTAAACAAACTGAAAACTAACTTTTATTTTGACCCGAGGCAGTAAATTCACAAGACTGACAGAAAACAGACTCCAACAAACCACACAGGCGGATAAACAGTAGAACAGGATGAATAACTGAGGGGAGACAAAGGCTATAAATACATATAAGGTCATTGGAACAATGGGAAACACTAGGGAAAGACAAGCTAGCTAATCACAGGAGACAAGACAAGGGAAGTAAAACAAAACACAGTGAATGCCAGATGAGGGACTAACAAAATAAAACAGGAAGTAAGCGAATACGGGAACATCATGGGAACAGAAAAGCTGAGTTGACACAGAGAACAAAGGAATGTAGGGAAACAACCACTGCAAATGAACTAAAACTAGAATAGGATAATCTAAATGAGAAGAATAGAGAGCAAACTAATCAGAAAATATATGGTAATAATTTAATAAACCAAACTAAATGTTAAACTGAAATGTTTAAGTAGAAAATCCAGAGTCATGCGTGGACGTCCACGCCTGAGAGGATGATCAATTAATAGTGCATTTCATTAGTACAGCCTGGCTGCTACATACCCTCTGAAACCCTATAGGAGCAGTGAGGATGCACTTTGTTTTTCAACATTACTGCACAGAATCCTGTGGGAATTTTCATTTTCACAGGACTGTATTTATTTATAATGTTTGAGTTTATTAGATTAACTGTTTTTCAATAACAGACAGCATTTGAATAAATAATACAAATAAAAACAAATCAGCTTTTTAGCAGCTTTAATCAGTTAGCACCTGTTCTGTTCTGTCTTAATAACAACTACACAGCAACTGGTAGGCTCATTTGGTTCCCCATGTTGCTCTCTTTTTGGGTGTGTCTTTTTCTTGAATGTGCAGTTGGGCCCATAATTTGTTGAACAAAGACATAGTTTTGCCTCTGAACAGTCAAGATATGACAGAAATGCAGACTTTCAGCTTCAGTTCAACAGGGTATACAGTCTATAGGGCTATAGAGCTAATCAAAGTCCACTAAAAACATTATTCTTGTCTATTCATAGATGCTGACAGCATATGCACAACTGAGTTCAAGACGGATCCACCTGAGATTTTTGCAGAATATGGAGGAATTCCTGTAATTGTAAACTGTACCACCAGACTGGGCGATCATTACGGACTATACTGGAGAGTTGGGAATGAAAGCTCTGACATTGAAGATGAAGAAATGTTTATCTCCCACTTAGTGCCAGTGTCAGACTGGAATGTGACGGCCGAGTGCAAAATGAAGCTCAATGAGTCTTATGAATGCAGCAAGGAACTCAAAGTTATTTTATTCAGTAAGTTTAATTTTAATTGAATACAGTACAATGCTAAGAAAATAAATAAATGTTGACATAATTAACTGACTTTGCTTAATTTTGTTTGCCAGAGAATCCAGAAGTTTTTCATTCTGTACAGTTTGTGAATGTGATGGGAGAAGAAACACAGTACAGACTGCAGTGCGATGTAGTCAATGTTGCTCCTGTTCAGTACCTCACTGTTAGCTGGTACAAAAACAGTGAAAAAATCCAGACAGAGTCTTTCAATGACACAACAACCAAAACTCCAGTAAACAAGTCCTCGATTCTGAGAGTCAACATCCGCAGAGAAGAAAATGTAGTTGAGTTCAGATGTGAAGCTCAGCTCCACTTTGGACCACACAGACCAAAACTTCCTGCCATTTCTCAAACACACAGCGTTTCAGCCCGCTGTGAGTAAATATCCTGCTGTTTACACATGAACAGAAGTTTAAAATTGTTCTTTTATTTAAGATTAAACAACAGTTCTTTTTTGTTCAGCTTTCAATTGTGTAAATGCGAGAACTGATAAAAAAACTGTTTATCATTTCAGATGCTCCGGAGCTAAAGACACAAAATAGTACTGATGACACTTATGCACTTGAGGGCACTAATATCATCTTGAGCTGTGAAGCTGTTGGAAACCCTCTTCCTGT